GGTTAAAGGTGTCGACCCTCTCGAATGCTTCTGGAGTTGTTCTGATTCAATGACTTAGAGATGCCTTTCTAATCAGAAATCGCTCCTATAAATTCTCTGAAAATCCGTTGAGAAGTCGTTATTATCTTCAGCGGAGACGTTTATAGTTATTACGTTTACCAGTCACGGACTCATGTCATGCCTACATTGGTCATAAAGTCAGTTGCTTCTGCAGCAAAAGGGATTTATGTTTCCCTTAAATCAGTCGAAATTTTTAAGGCTTCACCAACTCTACCTTGCATCCGAAAAACACCCTGTTTGCATATAAACTGCAGGGAAATCCTTAAGTTTTGGCCTCATTTTACATTTCAGGATGCTTAACGACCTTCGAGTCTCTATGCTCTCCCTCCTTCTCGCGGCTCTTCTGCATCCGATTTTTACATTGGCTCCTCATCCCGTCACCCCTTCCTCTGCCATTCTCAGACGCATTCTTCGAGCGCCCCTGTCTGGACGCCAATCCACTCCTAGCGCCATCACCTTCCACAAACCACGAACCATGACCCAACAGCTTAATCCTCTTGAACTAGCTATTGACTCGACTTTCGGCTTCGTTGCCAGTGAGGAAGCTTCAGAGGCAGCTTGTCAACGGATTCCAGGACTCTCCAACCACCAACGTAACCTGTGCCGAAGTAATCCAGGTCTGATTTGGGCTCTGGTGGATGGGACCCAGTTGGGATTATACGAGTGCGTGCATCAATTCAAGCATGAGAGGTGGAATTGTTCAATGGCGCGAGTGTTGCTTGGACGGCCACAGAGCGAAACGGTTTTACTGAGTAAAAATCCCTCGCCAACTATGAACCTCTTTGGCGAGCTTCAGAAGATTCTTGAGAAAGGTAAAAATTTTTCACCTTATAGTGCATCAAACAGTGATTACTGTTGAGTTTCTGTGGTGCTGAAGAGCTTTTAAACAATGCAAATAAGGGAATGAATGAACTGCAAACCAAATAACATATTCAATGGCTTCTGTAATAAAGGCAAAGACTGAGTCAATTACGAAGCATAATACATCTCAAGACTGATTAAAAATCTTTGCTTGAGTTAAGTCTCTCAAAGACAGGGATTTTATTTCTAGACGGATCAACCGTTCTGAACAGTAACATTACTGTTTGAAGTTAATTCCGGCACCTTGGGTGGCCCATTTGATTGGCTGCCACCATAAATTCAGTCAATTTATCATTCCACAAGCGGGTGACAAAAAATGATATGGTGGCCCAAATAGATGGTAAAGCCTGATCCACTATCCTCACAAGTTGCGTTCAAAGCGCAGAAGTAGAGATTGCAACAATGAACATCATTAGACACGTGTATGAGTGAGTGATTTAGCACCTTTTGGACTCTTTTAGGAGATAAACGCCGCTTCCTATCCTGTGGCCGCTTTTAAATGCCTGGTTAATTAAACTCGCTATGTTACTGGCCATTGCACTTTAAATTCCCATTAAAACAGGCACACATGGACGCCGACTCAGCTAGCGCTGTGTTTACGCTCAACCGATGGTTTTGTGCGTAGAAGAGCGAACAGTTGAATGAACAATCAAATGAACGAATGAGCAAATGCATGAAGTCATTCTGAATGGCAACCGTAGCCATGCGAAACACGATACAGACCGAATTAGGCGCCGACCTCGTTTGAGAATCAAAGTGGAAGACGCTTTGGAATAGCATTTTTGGGCCGGCGCATTTTAAGTACAGTGAATTTAAAAGAGCAGCATGCTACTCAGGTGGTAATCAGTAAACTTGGCATTGCCATAGTGTTAGCTCATAACTGATGTTAAAGTCAGGCAGAGTATGCTACACTGGTCTGTGAAATGAACTCCCTGAAAGTACTCTTTAACTCTTCCAAAAGTTGTGTTTTGGGAGTTTTGGGTGATCTTTTACAGCGTAATATTACTGGCCAGCCACATCATGGCTTATCCTCAGACGCTCCACTCACCACCCATCCCCATTACTTATAAGGGACGCACCAATTCTTCTGTAGAAGACTGCTTCTTGTGTGTGGTGTACACTGCGAGTGCAGTAGTTCACCTGCTGAAGGTCAAACCATGACGCCTTAAATCACTGTACAACTAGGACGTGCGAAATAAGGAGTTCTTTGAAACAGTTCGAATCAGCCAGTCATCCATTTAGTCGGAAGAAAGCCCTACTCGCGGAATCCAATGCACTGTTTCATCCCCACAAATGTAAGCCTTAGGAATTAGTTCATTTTATTGTGGATTTTGGCCACAGACTGGACGCCTTCGTCTAACCACTTCCTCCACTTTTTCGGAGGATATTTTAAAATTTGGATTAAAAATTTTCCACTATGTGAAAGATTTGGAGCAAAAAAGAAGTGTAGCTGATGGCTGTCACTGCTGGGTTCTTTGAAGCTACGGGCCAATTTTATGCAAAAAACATAATTTAAAGATGTTTTTTGAGAGAGAACTGAAGACTGAAGTGGTGGTCACTTCGGAGGACACGCTAATTCATACAGCCATCCAGATTACCACAAATTGCTAACTTGTTTTAGCAGTATTTTATCATACTTTATCCGTATGTCAATAGCGTTGATTAGCTGCTTTATTAAGTGTAAAACTCACATTGAAAAGGCCAATTTTCTCCCTTTCGTTAATTCTTAGGTGATATGCAGGCAAATGCCTCTGAAAGAGAGCTACATTGTATCTTACCTCTCTTCTCAAATTGCGGCAATGGAATAAACACAAATCTAAAAAGATTGAGTTAGGAAAAAATTTGTTACCTGCTAAGAGGTGTATCATTTGAGGGACAGTTTTCTTTTTATATGAAAAGGATCATCAGGGAAATCGAACCGAATATAGTGGAAATCTATTTACTCATCGTATTTAAGTAGCATCTAATTTATCAATAAATTTTAGCCGGCTTACTAATTTTGTTATTGTGGATCAGGAATTTTTATATATTCAAAATGTCACCTGCCCGTTACCACTTTGATTCGCTCTATTAGGACAACTTTGAAGGAAAATATATCTTCGACTTCTAAA